ATGTAGATATAGATATAGATATAGTTATAGATATATATCTCTATATTTCTGTATATTTGTATACGAATACCTTGGAGACTTCTATATTCATGTCGAGGAGATCAACTATATCTCCGTGACCTTGTTCGATAGCCAGGTTGCGTAGAGTGTATCCGGCCTGTAGTTTTAAAGTATAGGTGTGGTGTGTTGTGAGCTTCATACCAACGTATCCACCGTTTAATCGTTTCCAATACAATGTCAAGCACACAAAAGCTACTCAGTACTGCATGTTCCATCCTTACACACGACGTTAAGGTTTAGGGTTTGAGGGGTTGGGGTTTAGGATCTATTATAACCCTTAAACACACAATCACATGCCTTGTTGACGGGTGCTACTTCCGCTCCCATTGACAGAGGGAGCTCAGCAGTCTCTAAGTGGCCTCGTCGGCAGGCAATGTGTAGCGCTAACTGTTCTGTTTGTTCATAGAGTGGAGAGAGTTTGTTTTCGCAGGGTATTTCGTAGCTCGATCTGAGATGCTTGGATTTTAATTGAGTCGTAGTGTTCACTTTGGGGTGTCTATATTTCGGTCCGTACGTCTTTAGTGTATATGCATTTAGAAGTAGCAGTTCGAATTTGAATAGAAGTCTACTGCCGCAGAGTGTAAAATTGGGATGTGAATCGGTGTGCGTACATAATAATAATATTCCCAATGGGCTTGCAATATATATATATCAAAAATAGACCGAAGTTCGGCCCAAATTCGGCTGACAGGCTTAGGTACGAGTGGCAAACGACATACCTTCGTGTGCACAAAGGCATATAATGGAATCCAGTATCGTGCACTATTAAAGAGTATCGATTCACACACATTTGCTGTACATAAGAAAGTATTATTAACTCACATGTGCTGTAAATAAAAAGTATAAAATATCACACATATGCCGCAAATAAAAGTATCATTAACACGCATTTGCTGGAATTATTATTAACACACATGCGGAGTGACGATGTCCAGTCGCGCTCCTTTGGAGATCAAAGCTTCGGCTATCTCAATGTGACCGTTCTCGCACGCGTCGCGCAGAGGTGTCCGACCAACCTGCAGGATAAAACACCGGGTATGTACTGTGTAAATTACATGTAGGAAGGAAGAATGTAGGAAGGAAGAAATGCATGCATATATTAAAGTATCTATATATTCATGCAAATACACACATATTATATATATAAATATATATATATATATATAGTGGAGGAATAGGCTTATTCCAGGATATCGGATGTAGGTCAAGGACTGGTTTAAAATAGGCAATTCACATAGTAAGTTAGAGATGCATTGTCCATAGTGGATGATTAAGCTTATTCTAGCACAAAGAATGTATGTCAGCTACTGTAGTATCATGTGGTTTTAATCGAAAAGCAGCAGTAGCATTGACTAGCATCATAGGCTCTGCACACTAATGCACCACTCCAGGAATTTACTCACCCTGTTGGTCTGGTCGATGGCCTTGGCGTCCTGTAGGAGAGCCACGACTATAGCTAAGTGACCATAGTATGAAGCTACGTGCAGGGGAGTGGACTGGTCCTGGTACGGATTCATAGTAAGTTTTAAGTCGGTGTTAGTGGGCGTTGAACTTGTGTATTGTACGGTTTGATCGGCTGATTCTAGTATCCCTGTAAGTGGATGATTCTCGGAAATGGTTCCATCTGATAGTAATCTGTCGCAAGCAGCTTGGTATGGTTATGTGCGGTTAAAGCTCGATCAAGTAGAATAACTCATCGCATTGGTTCAATTCCACCTATGCGCAAGCAAATAGAGATAACTTACTTTGTTCTTTTTGTCGATATACTGTTCCTTTTCTCTGGCGTTAAGGAGCAACTCAACTACGTCCTCATCTTCCGCCTTGCACGTCAAATGTAGGGGGTATCATCTCTCTGCGGGACGTGTAGGATGTAAAGTTGAGATGAAGGCGAC